ACTACCTTTGCTGCAAAAACCCACATTTGAGGGAATGGTCGTGATTTTTGGTTAGTTATATAAGTAAATAAGTGAGTACAAACGTTTTCTATTGCGATCCACAGTTGGGCATGCAGATTCTTCTAACTGAGAATAACAACTTAAAGTGCCAGCTCCCACAAAAACACCATGCAACCGAAGTAGGAAACTCTGTTCTGGAAGACTCTGCAACAGCAGAGTTCCCTATTCAACAGCTTGGAGCAATTGTGCGCGTAAATCAAATGCCACATTTTGCAGTGGCAGATTCGAGACTCGCTTTCCTTTGCTACCTAGCTCATCCACTTCCTACTTCTTCTACCCATTAAAAAAGTTCAAAGGGGTATAATACCGTTCAATACATCTATATGGAGCTATAGGTAAGTCAAAGGTTTGTATTTGTAAGAGTATCAACTATAGGTGCTGGATATATGCAATTTTGATTTCCATGGTTTCATGATTATTTTTGAGGTGTTTTTCGGAATTGGTTACATATCAACTCCTATTTCTGCCACTCTTAACTATAGCTTTTTTTTCTAATATATTTGGTGGGTGCCAAGGCAACCAGTGGTGCAGAGGATCGCACACATATTGTGCATCAGATGAGCAGAGATGCAGCAACGGCGTGTCGCAAGTGCGAACTGTAATAGTTGCCAACTGTTGGCTGCCGCAGTGGCGCTAACAACAATTACACCAATTGGAGTAACGACGACATCCACAATTTTGATTTATTATTTTGATTCCTGTTACTTCAGTAGCTGCCAGGATGCTGTCGGAGCACCCTTGCCAGCTCACTTTACCCACTGCAACATTGTCCTTGTGCTTTCCGCTTCGACTTCTTTATTTTTATTCATACAATTTTTTTTGTTGGTTTTATTGCTCCAATTACTTCATGTTGTATTCGCCATGTGTGGCACTCGAGCAGATTTAATATTTCTCTACCTGCTTCGCAGTTTTTCCTTTCTGTTTATACTCTGCTTGCAATTTTAAAACATATAATAATGTATATAAGATCTTTTATATAAAAAAAAATAGTATTTCTGATTTTTGGTAACTTTCTCAAAGTCGAGGTCCTTTCTTAGTCGGGCACTTTCGAGAAGATAATTATTATTTATTTTACTTACAAATTTAGTTATACTTTTCCCTTAAGATTGTTCTTATTAATATTATTTGGTTCATTTATCATTATTTTGTTGGATTATTGTCTCGCACATATTGAAAATATTTTATTTTTGATTACGTTCTTAAATAAAAAAATGATTTTACTTTGAGTTAAGAACTCAATTGAAAATGCATTAAAAACGATACTTTGATTGAGTTAACACTATTTATCAATATCAGCAGGTCATAGTTGAAAGGCTTGAAAGGTACATATCCATATCCAATTATTCCAACAAATTGAAGCACACAAATGTGAAATACATACATATTGATAGCTGTTGCATAGATGTCTGTATGCAAACACTTCACTGCACATTGAATGTACAGAACTAACTCACAAGTGGTTTTTCCCATTTATATGTGCATAGATACAAGAGCCACGCGTGTTTCTCCTTTCTGCACAAAGACAACAGCACGTGACAATTAAAACGGCAAAAACAAACCAATCTAACGAGCATCGCAGAGGTAACTATCATGATTGCCTCTTTGCGCTCTTCCCTTACCGTTTACCATTTGTATACCCTGTACCCTTGTATTTGTTAGGAAATATTTACGATTCAAAGACAAGTTGAGTCCATCCAGCCATCATCACCATTCGCTTTAAGGTACGAGTTAAGTCATTTTAATTTGAAAGTAACTTATGGTAAATCACATAGTTGAAAATCATATTTATCTCTTAGGCAATGAGTATCACTTAGTCGAGCACTCACATCGATAGCATTCTTTCTTGTTTAGAGTTGGCTTAACTGAAACATTGCTATAATACTGGCACTTGGATTCGCACTATGGATTCCAACAGCTTTTATATATACCCTCTCTCTCCCTATTTAATAAATACCTATTTGATAAATACTATCAAAACAGCTAAATAAAAATATATACATATTATTGTGTTTAGGTTGCTTACATTCTTAAATAACGAAATGTCTCTTAATATTTTGAATATTATAGTAAAATCATTATTTGTAAATGTTTTACAAGCTGAGTGTATATTAGCTTCGGTGAACTCACATCAGTTTTGCATATTTTTTCGAACCACTTTTTCTGATGCCAGCTGCTGAGTGGATGCAACAAACCGTGTGCTGTGGGAGGGAAGTGAGACTACGGTGGGTTATATGTATAAGAGTTCAAAGAGGGAAGCCGGCAACGACGACTCTGGCAACATGTTGTAATTGCGTATTTCATAGATACTCAACGCAAACAGGAAAACACACAACACACAAACACGGGGACACGGTCCCAGCGACAACGGAGGAGGAGAGGTGTAGTTATATTTGCTGCTGCCGCCGCTGGATGTTTGCATGTGTTTGGCGCGAAAATGGCAACTGGTGTGCAGTGAAATATGCTACAGCTAACAAAAGATACAACAGCAACGAAAACAACAGCAGCAGCATCAATAAGAACAACGAGAATACGCATACGCCATGTTGCGCCATTTGAAGTTGTTGGCGTATACGTAATTTTTATTTTGCAGGCAAAAAGCCAAAAGATTAGTCACTGAAAAATGCATTCAGCGACAGCAAAAAAAAAAGCAGACAACAACAAAATAAAGCGAACACAGCAGACACATTTTAATTGCTCAAAAGCGATCCCAAGGGAGGGACGGGGAGGGGTCTGGCAAAATAAATTGGCCTGCGCAGTGAGAGCAGCGCTGTCCAGCGTCCATTTATGAGTTTTTATTCAATCACAGTAAATTAAATCAAATAAAATATTTTACAATGCACTCGCATTGGAAATTTGTAGTTAAAATTTTAATTTCACTTTGACAATTTCGCTTTTTGAATTACGAATATGTCTAGAGTAGAGTAGAATATTAAAACACATCAACACAGTATAGAACATTTCACACACCAAAGATTTTACTAACGAGGATAACTTTAGTGTTTTGTAAAACGAAAAGAATACCTCGATGATCTTTTCAAATCTCATATCATAATCTAGACCCCGCCCACCTGTACCCACATATTATTTGCACCGCGATGTGAGTGTGGAGAGCACACCTCGGTTTATTTCTATACAGAGACGTCCTTGTGCAGTCCTTTGCCATTTCGTGCGTCCTTGTTGGCACATTTAGCACACGCTTGTGCACATTTTTATATTTGTTTTTTTTTCTCAGAAACGTATTTATGTTCGCTTATGTACGTATCAAAAGCGAAAGGCTCATTTTAAATAAAATTCACAAAAAGCCTCGCACAAATGCGCACTTTTGCTTTGGTGTATTTTCTATGCCTTTTCTGCATGCCAGTTTGAGTGTGTGTGTGTGTTTGTGTGTGTGCGTGTGTGCATTATCAGTCATGTGTAAAAATCAGGACATGCGCGTGAGAGGAAAAGCTATTGTTCGCATAAAGCATTTTGTATGCTGCTTGCTGAACTTATGTCGATTATCTTCGCGTGTTTTTCTGTGGCTGTCGTGCGTATTTCTAACCAAAAAAGAAAACTCGTCTTGGTACCCCATTTATATCAAAGGATAATCATCGTTTCTACACCAAACTACTATCGCACATTTTGTGCAACTCCATTTGAGTGTGAATACTGCGATAAGCACCACAAAATTTACATAAATGCAGAGACACAAACACAAACGGTTTCATGACCTGTCAAAATTTACAGTTCAAAACTTGAGATCATCAAAGCTGTCAAAGCAACTTTATCGTCTGAGCTATGCAATATTTGTCACTATTTCAAATTAAATACAACTTTTGTGAAAAATGCCGCTCTGTTCTGTGTTTGCTTTGCTGTATATTGTCAAAGAGTGCGATTTGGAAATGTGTAATGCTGAACAGCCGAAAATCTTAAGTCTATGCAGCTTTGGCAGCTGCGCTTGTCTTCAAATTCTGGGAAAGCGATTGTCGCAACAAATCTATCAAATTATTCTCAAAAAATTACACTGAAAATTGTTGTGTCCACTAAAAATAAATAAATTCATTGTGTAAGGAGTCCCTATTTAATTTAATTTGATGGTGTATCTTTGTTGTTCAACCCTGATCGATATTACTTTCGTTGAAAATAGGTGAAGTGGATGTTATGGCAAAAAGGAATATCTCCCGCCACATAAAGTATACATATTCTTGATCAGGATCAAGTGCCGAGTCGATATAGAAATGTCTTTGATCTCGCCAACGAAAGAACTAAAGACTCATTTACTCATTTACCCCGCTTCGATAAAGTTTATTTTATCATATCGATATCTTACCCCATTTAGCGAACATCGATACATATCGATTTCCGATATCAATTATAACCGCAATTTGGAATGCAGAGCCTTACAAATGAGAGCACTTTCAGGCAAGCTCACTTTGAGTGTGCAACTCTTTTAAAGGGAAATTTGCCAATACAACTAGAATATATTTCTGAACAGCTGGTAATCGAGCTTCCTCGACTGCAGTTTTCTGACTTCTTTGAAGTGCATCTGTCTTCGTTTATTAATTTAAGCAAAGTCTAGGAGTTGTGCAAGGTAACATTCATTAAATCTATTTCTTTTTTCTTGTAGGCCAGCACTTTATCGTTCTATGGCTGGGCAGTTAATTCTTATTATTGTTGTTCAGTTGATATTGGCAGGCATATTAATTATGCCGCCGCAAATGACAATTAAATGCGAATTGAGTGTGTGTATGTGTGTTAATTTGTTTATGACAGTTGAACATGAGCGTTGGTTGTGTCGATGCCTGCAGTTGTTTGCCATTGTGCGACATCAGACAAAGAAATTCCTTTTAGGTGAACAAACAAAACCCCAATGTACATTGACTGCTAGTTGGAAAACTAATATTTGGTTCAATCAAACCGAATGTGCAGTGATAAATTTTACATTAATAGTTAGATCGGTTTAGACGATTTTTTATTTCATCTTTAACTAAAATTGTAAGCGCAAAAATAAAAGTATCACAAGAAGAAGATTCGTACAAAAATGATTATTCGTAGATCTTGATTGCATTATCAAATTTGACTCCATGTAGACGATGACCGAGGAAATGGTTTCTGCCGAACGTCCCTTCTTAATCTTATGGCACTTTTTGTGCAGTTCATCTGAGTAGGTAAATTGAAAGGGTAAACAATTCACTCGAAAGGTACCTTGAAGATCCATCGGATAATTTCGACCATTACAGTAGAAGTCGCCTTCACTGTACACCAGATTGTAGCAGTTAGTTAACGGGCTCTCGTAAAAAACAATGAGCAGCATTGAGGAGCCAATGTAATCGGCCCGCTGCCAAATCGAGTATGGTGTGTTAAGGGCTGGATGACGATCTTTGTAAAGCAGATAGAGCTGGCGATCAAACCATCCGTGGCACACAAACTCCAGAATGTGTCCGTCGATGAATGTGCAGTTGTTCAATCCGCTTGAAACTTTCACGGGATAGAGGAGTAACAGCAGCCAGCAAGCAATCAAATTGATATTGTAACCTCCTGCGTATTGTTGGCTAATTAGCATGGCCTACAATAATGCAGAGAGTAATTCTGTAGTCATATTTGACAATTTGTTCAACAGTGAGTGACACGTTAGGCAATGTAAAAAAGTTTTTTGGTCAAATGTGTGTATGTTACTTGAAAAAACCACAAATTTGTTATGTGCTTATATGACAATCCGAAGTGTCCGATGTATCCCATTTAGTTTTTAGTCCAGACGAATGGCTGCATTGCTATATCGGATGTCGTTAATAGAAAAAAGACAACACAATTTATACAAACAGCTAATATATATGATTTCTAACTTATTCTTCACACTGTGACAACAATTTCCAAGCTGTCATCTGATCTAGACAAAATTGTTGAAAACAAATAAATACGCCAATAAGATGAAGATTTGAAAGCTTCTTCAAGATGTAATCGCAAAATCAGACTTTTATTCTCAATTATGAATTCTGATTTAAGCACTAATATTTATATATATACTTAATTATTGTTAAGTTCGTTACTGGACGCTTCAGACAGCCAACTTACAGATATTTATGCCGATTTTTGAATGGTTAAATTGAATATGCTGACACAGATTTTATTTGGCATAAGCATTACCAATTATGGTATTTGTCAGTGTATATTATGTGGGCTTAAGTGTTAAGTCTCAGACCGTTATATTTATTGGCAAAAAGATTACGTTGAGTTTACAGTCAGATCTAAATTTGTATACAGCATGTTTGTAGAGGCTTCCAAATTCCTCGCATTACTCTTATTTCTTGTAGGTAATCTGCTAGCCACTGTGTATTGCTCTGAGCGTTGCTCCAACTTGCTTGAAATACCCCTGACGAGGCGATGCACTGGCACACTCACGCATTCTATACGGCGCAAATATGCCGACAAATACGCTGCGATGGATGCACCCTATGCCTTATTTTCGGTCGACCCGCTAATGCTGAATGTTTTCATCACAATTTATGACTCGCCCGTGATAAGCTGTGAGAAGCTGATGGTGAACGACTCTAATCACTTTGTCTGCAATGAACAAGAGATTAAGATAATGTATTCAAGAATGGTGTGCTACGAGTATCCCATGCGTTATTTGGGTGCGCTGAGAGACAATTGCATGCGTACAAGGAATGTCGCCTATCACTCCATAGAGCAATCCATTCTACACTACGCAGATTTCTCAAGTATGGCTGAATCAAAGATTGCAAATTGTTGGCTATTGATCGTTTGTATTGTAATTGATTTCAAATTGATGGAGTAGTGAAACTATAGGCTGAAGGTATTAAATTGAATCGTGTATGTATCATATTGTCACTGCCAGCATAATGAGTACCGTCTGAAGCCCATATATTTTAGTGGAAGGACCATTCAAAGTAATGTAAAACTGCAGCAGGTACGTGCGATTCCAGAGATTAAGTGTGTTGAAAGAAAATTCGCTGTTAAATTGATTTACATATTCGTACATGTCTGAAAAGGACTGCAGCAAACAAAGCAAAAACACTGAGAAAGAGAGAGATATATATATATAGAGTGGGGGAGAGAGAAATGTAGAGTATGTAAATAAATAAAATTGAAGCGACGAATGTATGTGAATAAAAACGGAATATACTTTCCATTTTGCTTTAATGAAAGTTCTGTAATTTAACTCCTTTTTATACGAGTACACTTTCTGTGTTTGGCAACAGCCATATCCTTTATTATGTTACAATAATAAATTGTATTAAGTGTATTTGCGAAGTGGAGCGACAACCAGGTCGGCAACTGAATGCCAGGACACAGGTGTATTGACTGCCACATGAAAAGCAAAATTGAATTAAGTGACAAAAATGCAAACAAACAAAAAAAAAAAAGAAAAAAAGAAAAAGAGAAAATTGGAAATTTCATTCCGTTCAGTTACAATTCAATCTGAACCCTTCTGCAGCTATTCAAAGCCAAAATTACAATTCCCCAGTATATATAACAGTTTGAGCAGTATGCGTATTAGAGTATAAAAAGATCCTCCCCATATTGCCCATTGGCAATACGCATTTCAGTCGCTGTTGGCAACACTCGCTGTTAGCGCCGTCATTTTCATTGTGATTTTAATATGTGTCACATGATTCACAGCTGACGCTCCCTTTGTGCTCAGACTTGGCTGCTCTGCAATTGACAGATTTTCCACACAAAACACCAAAATCAGTTGGGTAACAAATGCTGTCATCTTTTCGCTGATGATGTATACAGAGTTAGTGCTCTGAATGCAATTAAAGTATAGGACTAGAAGCTAACCACACAAAAGTTGACTAATTATTTGTTGAACATGAATAATGTCGTTTAAGAATGCTTCAAGTTATCTGTAGTTTTTATCGATAATAAATCAAAATACTAGACTGGGCGAGAAGTTTTATTGATATACTCGCACTTTGCACCAACCGGCTAATAATTTAGTTTATCATTTCCATGACACGCCAACGAACAGAGGACGCACCCAATCTGCCCAACCAAAATCAAATCCCCGCCTCGAAGAGTCAATGTTTCGAACTCACGTGCGGCCAAAAAGCAAAGGAAAAAAAATCATTCTGGTGGGGCAACGGAAAATATAAACGACAGCAAATTATTTGCTGTCAGCTGGGGCGTATCAAAAGATTCGAGTGTGTCTGTGTGCGTGTGTAAAATTCCACAGGACAAAGGCGACAACCGACGAGGCGACGAAGAAGCAGCGAAAATGCATTGCGTGTCTCAAAACTAAAGCGAGCCCCACAACCAAAAAATTACAGAAAATTGATATTAAGAAATTGCATGAAATGAGTAAATGAAGCGTAGCAAAACACGCCCGTCTAATGGACTGCCTGATTGCCGTCAGAGCTAACAGGTTATAGCCACCAGGGCTGAGAGGGCCGTCAAACGTATCCGTATATTAAAAAATTCTTGGAAAACTAATCAATGTCAAATGTATTTTGATTGTGTCGCACGAACGACCAACGACCAACGACAGACAGTCAGACAGACAAAGAAAATCGGCGTTCGATCCTTAAGCTTGACTGCATCGATTCAAGCCGATGGGTTGGTCCGTCCAGTGAACAGACGAGCGCGTGATTAGCCGAAATTAGAAAATAATTTGCTTTCTAGCTGGAAATTTAGTAGCTGCCATAAATTTTTGCCGACACATGTACTGCTACTGCCTGAATGAGGGAGTGCCGCGATTGTAAACAAAGGTGACTTATCCACATTTCAATAAGAGTGCCACAGGCCAATTGGGTTATTGGCACAACAAATAGGCTACTGAATGCAGCTCAAGGCGGAGCTTTAGTGATATAAAAAATGTACGTATATCAATTTCATATTCCTTAGCTTACTTTAATATTCTTGAAGGAAAAAAATTGATCTGAATTTAAAAAAATTCGTTGTGAGCGATTTTCGAAAATGTTGTTTGATATTTTTTCAAACTTTACACACATCACCAAGTTTTAAGGGCTAAAGAGTATTGAAATATGATTGCTCGTTTGCATTCTCTATAAACTCTAATGGGTTGATTTGGAAAGGGCTCTGTAAGGCAAACGTTCCCACCAGGATTATGCTCTGTGTACAAACAAATTAGCGGCAAAGTCCGTTCAATGAATGGCATAAAATGAAATGTTGAAATATCATACACAATTTTGCTGACATTGAGTGGAAATTCATCAATCGTGAATGACACGATGCACTCCCTTCGCACCCCTATCCGTTGTTCCCATGCAACAAGCAGCACTGCAACAGCTGCTATCAAATTGACATTTCTACTTAACATGCGGCACAGAGGAGCTCAATTTTTAATCGGTTTTTTTCGAGCTGCATTTCGGTAGGCGCAGCAGCAGTAGCAGCAACTCATTATTTTTATTAATATGATTTTCACTGCACTTGAGCGAGCGAGCTGCAATTTCGCATTTTGTAATTTAAATTTTCATAAATTAAGCTGCGACGAGTGATAAAGATGATGAAGATGCCACTGTCAATGCATATCATTGTTTTCTCCAACGAGCAGCCATTTATTTGCAATTATTTGCTTTAAGTATTAAAAATACAAAAGCTGCGAGTCAGCCGCACGCTTCACACTCCCCCCTTCCTTCCAGCAACCCGATCAACCCTCATCTAAAGCGCTGCATTACTTCAGGGGAAAAGTGCTTCAGCACAAATGAACAACTGTGCATTGTCCTGGGACCTGGTACCGGTATCGGATCGATTGGAAATGCGCTTTTAATTGTTGTCAGAAGGATTCAGAATACTGCCTCCTCAATTCTGTCACACAAGTTGTCATTCTGTGGCCAAGGCGGCCACCCAGTCCGTTCGCGTTGACGTTGACACACTTTACTGATTTCATTGTAAGTACATTTAATTATATTCTGCAAAGAGGTGTAAAAAAAAATTAAACAAGTGTCGTTAACAGACAGCACAAACTTCAGTGCGTGTCGTGCGAAGCGATTATCAATAGTCCAGCAGACTGTCTTCTGTCCCCGAGCTTATCCTTATGTCCATTCTGTCCATTACAATGCCTCTAATTAAGTAATGAGTAATAAGATAAGCTCACCACTTAAAATGACCATTTATCACAATCACGCATTAAGAACCAAGTATGTTATTTTATTATTTCTGTAGAGACAGATATTATGCCTCTGCCTCTTAAGCGATCAATCCCAATGATTGATCTTAGAGCTCCTGTTTGAAAATTATTTATGGCGTAAGCCCCTAGCTGAGAGAGTCCTTATGTATGCTTATTGCTGCGTAATCTTTCAGAATGCATTCGGGATTCTTGTTTTTGTTCTTAGTTTGTGTAAGGATTTCCGCATCCGGCGATGTTCTGTCAACAAGTCTGTTTTTATCCGTGGCGAGTTTTTACTTATATTCAGCCAGTCAGTTGCATAGTTGCATAGTAATCTTTTGCAGTGTCTCTCACTAACTGCGTTTCCTTACGTGTGCTGTGGTGACTTGGTCATCGTCCACAAAATGGTTCAGGACTCCAGATAAGTGAACTGTCTTCCCTCCCTACCTATAGATTTATGACTCTTTCGAGTAAAACATAAATCCATTTAAATTACTTGTGACAAATTGATTAATTTTAATAGCCAATCAAGAGAAATATTTTAAAAAATGCGACTGCATTTCCAATTTGTAGGGTTGGTTTTAGGTTCATTAAATATGATTTGAGTTTTTACTTTGTCCTTCTAATGAAGCATAGTCCAGAAACCAGTAAACCATCCACTGCACAAATGTCCTTCGGGACTTGTTATTGCTTCGTTGCAAAATGATAAGCGTCCTCGGGGGGAGTGGCTGGGCGTTAATGGCAACTGTGCGGATGCCCGTGGCGTATTCATAATACAACTTGAAAGGGTTTGGTTTGATTGTGGCTGCTTGCTACTGCAGTTGCCATCGCTGCTGGTGCTGCGGTTGGATGCCTCACTTTGGACTGACCAGCACCCCAGCACCCGCCGTCCCTCAGCGCAGCTGTAGTGTGAGCGAGGCTTATATGGATTTTTATAAAAGTTAATTGCTTAGTTTCAATGTTTTGTTAACAGCTCTGCGTTGCTGTTGTTGCCGCTGCGCTTAATCGCCTGCACTTGCAACGGCCACCGAGAGACGGCAAACTTAGCCCCATTGGACTTGTTTGCATGTTATGTAATTATTCCAGTGCAACAGTCAAAGCGACGTTTAAATCTATGAGTAAAAGCTCAAAGAAAAGTTAAGAGCAAGCGCTTATTGCAAAATCCATAGAAAATAAGTTGCTCTCTAGCTACCGTTTAGAGGATTAATCTTTAAGTTTGCACTATTCACTTGGATATCCGTAATATTTATAGAATTTTAATTTAAGTTAGAGTTTACTAAAATAAATATTTGTATTTTTTGGGAAAATAAGTTTATCTGCGCCCAATAATAGAATTACTCGTAATAACGTAAGTAAATTTAAAGAACTTTTTACTCACACCCTATAAAATGTATAGAATATTACTATTATTATTAAACTAGATTCCTAGAATACTTATCGATTTATATTAATATTAAGTATACATAACTAAATAGACTTAAGCGAGGAAAATATCAGCAACGTTACTAAATAAATTCCATTACAAGTGAAGAAAACTTTTGTCGGATCGAATTGCAATTTCCATTTGATCGAATTCCCAAAGATCGAGTATAATAAAAATCAAGCAAACCCAAAACTTCATGCCTCTCAAGTCGAGCAACATATGTGTGGCAATATTTGAGGTGCACGCGCACTTAAGGGCCACCTGGATGCCTAGAGATGCAGGTTGGCTACAGTTCGTGCCACAAGCACGTTAATACAATTAAAAACAAACCAATTTACTTACGACAACACAGCTCTGGCGACATAGCCTCCAAATTGATGTTGTTGTGGGTGTGTTGTTGTTTGGTTGTGGCTGCTGCTGTTTGCTGCTGCTGTCAGCTACAGAACTCTCTGATGCCATTAGGCGTAAGTGGCATTTTCCTTTTGATTTTGGTGGCATTTGGCTTTATTAAGCAAAACATCCATCGCACTTGTCCAGGTAGAATGGCACTCCGTCCGTCCGTCCGTCTGTCTGTCTGTCTGTCTGTATGTCTGCCTGTCGTAGACTATGCCTGAGGGTTTCTTTGACGATGTTCAAATGGGTCAATATGCTGCCGCTGTCTGCTTTAGCTGGCGGTACGTGAAGTTGCTGAGATTCTCATGTAATATTCACCACGATACCACAGAGTGACATCTTTTGAGGCCTCACACGGTTTGATGGTGTAAGTGTGTGTGCGTGTGTGCATTTGGTTTATGCACGCAGCTTCGATATCTGGTAACCTATGTCATTTAGGTGTGCGTGTTGTAGTCATTTTTGGTGGAGGATATTTGGGTCGCGTGCTCGTGACAAAGAAATTAAAGTCTCCTTGAAGTCCGCTGCTCAATCATTCATTGCACTTTTGCTTATTTATTCAACTAATGGAATTATTTGGTGCCACCCTAACCCCCTTAGTTTGCTGTTCCAAATAGTTCATGGATTGCCCCTATGTCTATTTGTCTACGTGTGCACCGAGATTTGATTTGCTCCATAGAGCTCGTCAGTTTCAGGCCTCGTCTTGGTTTTGTCATCTTTTCATATTTATTCTACGTGTGCTCCAGTTGCCTCCTCTAGTGCTTCCTAAAGTGCCTGGGAACGTGTCTTTTGTTGTCTTTCGTCGACATCATCGATGCTCTTTCAGTTCTATTTATCTAATTGATTTCGATTGTTTTTCTCTTCGCTTGCTTACACAAGCCCTGATTAAAATTGTTCGCAATATACAAGAAAAGAACAATTCATTTGGCTATTTAGTAGGTCAGAAAGCCAAGTAAAAATATATACTAATAATCAAAGGCAGCGCCTTGGTTAAAGTGTTAAACTTTTAACTAGAGTTGACAGGTGTATCTCGGAGCTGTGCACAGCTGTCTAACACCTCAGCTGGCGAAGAAAGGCCCTGAAGGGCAGTGGGCAACTGCCTGGCAACTGGTAAATAGTCACTGAATAACTGACAGGCATTCAGGCAATGCAACCAACTGAACTGAAGCATGCAACCAACAAAGGTGCCAGCTGCAGCTCTTTCTTCTTCAACTGCTTTTGGCAAATTAAATACATTTTATTTCAGACAATTTACCTCTTAAGTGCTATAAACTTATGTGGTTTATCAATTTCGGTTCTAGCAACGTTGACAATGAATGGTTGCTATAATATTGATGTACTCTCTCGTTGCAATGAATAATAATTTTATGCATGGGGCCAACTAGAATTCCCTGAGCTGTAATCCTTGGTGTCTGGTGCTCGAAGCCGGTTTATTGAGCTGCAATCGAGACTCACTCGAAAGCACAGAAATTGAATAAAAATGCTAAAAAGGCATAGCACAAAAATATTGCATCAAAGGTTAACGTCGCCGTCTGGTCTGGGCCAGGACAACGATGACGTCGACAACACCGCCAGGAGTTGTAGAAAACATGGCAAAAGTTTTCTACAGTTTCCCTGGCCATGTCATTGGCCTGTCTGTAAATCTGCCATCTTTGCAGTTGCAGTTGCTGTTGTGGCTTGCAGTCAACGTACAAAATTGACTTGATAAAAAGTTCAGCTATTTTTTTCGACTTCATTTGCCGGACGTTGGATGTAGTTCGCAAGACGGGGGACGTCGGAGCTTCGAGTTGTCAGTTGTCAGACGCTTTTGTGTCTCATCCACACGTTTTATGAATTATAATAAAATTGCCGGAGTATGTTTTCTGTATCAGCGTTCCTGAGACTCCAAAGAAGCCAAAGAGCAAGCATTTCATGTCCTTCAAGTTATTCATTGTATTGAACATAATATATGGGCTCAGGCGAGCTCAAGATGCGATTTAAAAATCCGAGTTATAGTAGTAAATTGTGTTTTCATATTAAATTCACCAATAATCGACAACGTTGTCCCAGCATTATATTTTCTCTTTCACTACACGCATCCATTTAACAGACACCATAAAAATACAAATAAAATCTCGGGGACTGCATAAAATCATAAAAGCGTATAATAATATTTAAAATGGATTTTTATTGATTTATGGCATTTCACTTGATCCTTGTGCGGGTATTGTGTGCTATATTTTGTGTATATTTTTTTTGTCCCAGCACCAAATGCGCGTATTTATGAAATTTTCAATTCACTTTTCATTTCCAGTGTGAGCTCCAGTTACAAATTGATATTTATTTCCTTTCACGTGCGAAATGTGCTCAATTTGTAAGAGCCAACATGACAAAAGTCAACGCCCAATAATATCCACGGGGAAGTGTGGAAAATTTCCTTGAGGCCATACACAAATAGTTGCAAGAGACAAAAGCCGCACGAAAATTGAGCAGACTTAATTGAGCATCTGAAAGATTAAGCAGACTGAACTGAAATTTAAAGTAACGATTACGACCAAGGAAAATATAAATTTTATTATTTTGACTTTCTAATTGGTGATTACGCTTGACCAATTATTATTCCAAATCATTAACACCTCAGCCTCGAGGGCAACGATTTTACAATTGAATTTAACTGCAGTTGTGGAAAGCTTGAATTAAATTGAAGGCAGGCACACAAAATCATCAAGAATTTGTACACTCTATAGTGGAAGGAAGCAGAGTATATTCAGATGATTCATAAGATTAAGTATAGACATCGAACATCGTATCCTGAATAGTATAGTCTGTTAGGATCGTGAGTGTATTCAGACAGTTAGTTCACTAGATATTAAGAATTGAGTATTATTGGTATTTGGGGTGAGCTGCAGACTGTAACATAACATCTGAAAACTAACATGCAACTATGTACGCAACATACGATATCGATATATATCGATATCAATGACGTAATCACGCACTTCAAGTAGAAGAGCTGGATCGTTGTTAAAAAAGTAAAGTGAGCAGAAGTGCAACTTAGTTTTGAGTGCTGCAGATGGGATTTATTTTATCCATAACAGTTTATTCCTTAATATCGTATTCCGACCGAGTGCTTAAGAACAAATCAAAACTAGTTTATAACTTTCGATTCCTCATCGCGAGGATAATGAGTTTATTTAAAAAATTATGTTTTTCAGATTATCTTATTTGGAAGTTAGTTTTGCCGGCACCGATCCCGTTCTTGTCTGACATTTTGAGTTGCCTGCAAGTGCCGTTCTGCTGTCAGGCTGGCTTCTTGTTTTGTAGGCATTTCTGGCGTGTTGCAACTTCTTTGCTACACCTACGTAACACTTCATTTAGCTGCTTGCAACTTTACAGGTTTGCGTGTGTATGATATTGTTGTGTGTGTGTGTGTGTGCTTGTGTATGTTTGCGAAATAGTTGTGTACTCTCTGCTACTTGAACTTTTTGGCTTGCTTTCTTTAGCTTGGGGGTAAAAATGCTTCCTCAACTTTTTTGCCTGCATTGTTTTTGACTGCAGTCACTTGCTATGTATTTATGTATGTGTATGTGCAAGCTATTGCATACTGGCCTACAAGTTGCCTAGTTGCTACACCATCCCATACCGCTGCCAGCTCTACCCTGTCCTGTCCTGTCCTGTGCTGCTGTCTCTGCAGCTCTTACTTTACTTTTGCATTAGTTCGTTGTGCTGCTTGTGTCTGCCGCTCTCTGCTCGTGAAGCCTGTAATTTATTTCTTGTTTTGATTGAAATATTGCTTTACAAGCAAAAAGACACGCACACACACAGACGCTTGTCTGTGGCAAGAGTGCTGTTGTTGTTGTTGTTGGTTGGGGATGGAGGAGTTAGGGACAAGGCTTAGCAAATACGCAGCGTAGGCTCTCTCTGCTAACTGCCTGCGTTGCGTTCTGTTCCGTTCCGTTGGAGTGACGGCCTGCCTGCAATACGCACACCCTCCGAGGCACAGCTGCACTGAGAGAAATTCCAGCGGCGACAAATGTTGCCGAACACATTGTATTAATTCGCATATGAATTACACTTATTTTAAAGTATTGCTTGCAGTGCTTCTTCGAGTGCAAGGCAGAACTCGCAAAGTTATTCACTTCAAAGTGCAAGGCACTTGTTTCCCTGTCCCGCTCACAGCCAGTGGGCTGTGCTTGTGTTTTTGTTGTTGTTGGATACCGTAAACAGTCATATTTCAATCAAAATTACATATTGAATGTTGTACCGAACAATTTCCAATTGGGAAACGGGCGCAACATCAACATCAACTTCAAATTTTGGAGCTGTTGTTGTTATTATTTTTGCTTGCATTTCGTTTCTGTTTTTGTTTTTGTTGAGTCAAGAACTTTTTGTTCGCTGTTGGTATTGTTGGTGTGCTGTTTTCTGATTGCGAAATGTTTAGAATTTTTGCAATTAAGTACAGGAAATAAGTGCTTACAGTTTAATGTTGCAGTTTGATTCAGGGTAGTCAGCCCCAAGTTAAAAATCAGCAAACAGCAAACCAATTGCAAATGGTCGTCGAGTGCGTCGTCATAATTGCACACATATTGAATATAACTATTGTTATTCTCACAAGCTTGTTTCTGATAATAATAATAGTAATCATGCAAATATCCAGCAGCTTGGTTATCTCTCTCGTAACAATGCAAAATTAATTCCAAGTGCTTGTCAATGGAGGACTACTCAAAATAAACGACTTTTGAGCGGTTTTTGTGAGATCGCGTCAAATTGAATCAACAACATTAGCAACAAAGAGTACGCCCAATCGCTGTTCACCCTGCCACTCCACCATGCAGTATGGTGTTGAACCCTTGCCATTGCTGCACAGCTTCATCATCGTTATGATGCTCAATATCTCAAAGGCGGCTGCTGCTTTTGCGTCTCTCGTCTGCCATTTTACGTTATAAATTGCATTATAATTCAAATTTTGCAATAAATCTCAATTTCAGCACAAAGACGTAAGGACGACAATGGAGCAAAGGCGCAGGAGGCGGCAGTGGCAGAGACTGAGGCAAAGGCAATGGCAAAGGCAAAGGCATAAACTTTATAGCTCTCGACGCACCTTGAAAAGAAGTGCCCGGCAAATCAATCGATTACGCGACTTAACTTTCCAATAGCTTCTCGAGGCAAGGAGTGGGCAGGTGGGGAGGCAAAGAGGCTGGCAGCCAGCTAACATTCAGCCGGACGGGTAGCAATGCCTTTATGCTTATGGTAATAATGGGTAGACGGCAGACGGAGGGGGTGCTGAGATTGAACTGTCGGTTGTTAGTTGTCTGGCAAAATCAGTTGTACGCCTCCTTTATAGAATATACTTTGCCAAAGAGTCGAAGTTGCTGCCATTGTTGCATTCTTATAATTGTATCGCTAATAGCTGAGAGTAGAGAGCAGAGATAGTAAATGAGCAGGCAAGTAGTAGAAATTCAATGCTTACTTATCTTATAATTTAAATATGAACATTAGCTTACTTCAACCTGAAAGAATCTGCTACAAGGCAGGAAACTGCCAGTTTGGCATATTGAAACATATTAAATATTAACAACACACAGCTGTATGTATGTGGGTGGACATCGAATGTGATAAGTTGATGGGTGTGTGCCCAAAAAGGGTCACCAGACAAAGCAGAAATCCGCAAATGGGGTTAAAGAATTGAGTTAACGTGCGAGTTTCGCTTTTAGCATTTTTTCTTTCTTTCCGGGCAGGCCAACTTTGACCGTCACAGCTATTTCTCAATCAATTTTCTGTTCAGCATGCGAAGGTACATATTCAAGTGTAGTCAAGTATCAGATGATAATAGCTTCGTAATGCCATCATGCATAGCAAATAACATATCCTAAGTGTCTGAGATATATAGGTATGTAGGCTATTATGTGTGTATATGCATACATACTTACAGATATCAACATATATATTCATATATGTAGCACGCACTTGGTTGCTCTTGCAATTTTTCAATATTCCGGCAAAGGATTAACATAATTTAGCAATTTTCATAACCTCAAACTCAAGCAACGTTAACCCTTTGCAAGGTAATGGGCACTTGGCAATTTAATTTCTTGCACGCACAATCGACGAGCTAAGCTTCAGTGCCACACCCCCGCCCACACACACACACACAAGCACATACACACACACACACTTAGTGCGAGAATCGTCTTCGTACCCAACACAGCAATATTGCCAGTCATAAATCCTGCTTAAATTGTGCATGCAGAGGATTTTTGTTCCAGAACGCTGCCCCCCAACCACTCCCACAAACGCAACGCAACCCAACCAATCCAATCCCCCCCTTCTACACCTCTCCGCATTCTCTCACACTCTTTGGCACTTAGCCTCAATGCTCAACTCTCTTTCTCTCGCCATTTCCCAGCTCCCATTGAAACTACCCAAATAACGCACGTTGCTTGTCTCTCTCTCCTCGTGGCTCGTGTGCATATGTTAATAACCGAGAGCTTTGGCATCAGTGCGTGTTTATGCACGCATGCTATCTCTCTCACTCTCTATCTATCTCTGTCTCTGTCTCTCAATGTGCTGGTTGTTAGCTCTCCTTCGGTTCGTATAACAGTGCGCTGTTTTCGAATGCGCTCCTTTTTATTTGATATTATTACGATAATTTATTTGGGCAATAAATTTTGCAAGAGAAATGCATTAAATTTTTGCTGTTTTTTTTTTTTTTTTTGTACCCTTGTGCCATAATTTCAATCTCTTTTTGTAGATGGCGCTTACGATATTCTCTTTGTGTGTGTTGGTATTGGTTGCAGGCTGACATAGTTAAAGATTTGCGGTCAGTGGCAATTCACATTGAGTATTCTTTTATGCTATCCAAATATAACTCAATTCTATCTAAAAATACTCGCTGACTCATTTGTGCACAAGCAAAAACTCGAAATTGACTGTTCGCACATAAATCTCCAATGAGTTTCCACACAATTGCAGTTCAATGAGAATTCTCCTTATGCACATTAGCAAAAAAATAAATATAAAAAAAAAGTTAATGATTATGATTATTATGGGTATTCAACTGCTGAACATATCCGTGAATACATACTTATGTCTCAATATCTATGTGTATCAATCATTTTAGTTGCAAATCGAATAATAATGAATAATAGACAATCTTGATGAAATAACCAGAGTCAATATTTATATTTTTCACATATTATTTATAAGGATAAGTGTACAAGATAAACACTATTCGAACAGAACGCACACATGCAAAAGCTTTTGAATCTGGTCGAAAAAAAATGTATAAATGCAGCTGAAGAAAAACTATGACAAAATGCATATAAATTAAAGTAAATAGCTTGTAAAAAGCATAAATCATATTGTTAATGGTTTGTGCATTCGACATAGACCTTTTTTTATTTGCTTTTACGGATTTCTTTTTAGACACTTCCATTGTACGCCACAAATTTATCACTTTCCACAATACTCGAAACACTTTTCGATGTCACTTGTTTGTGTGTGTTATTTTTTATTTTTATTTAT